GAGGGATTGGAGCAGTCAGGGGACAGGGAGCAGAGGGGTTTAGATGGAGTTCTGGGGGGGGCTGTCAGGGGGTGGGGAGTGGTTGGATGGGGCGTGGGAGTCCCAGGGGTCTGTCTGGGGGTGGGGGTGTGGATAAGGGTTGGGGCAGTCAGGGGACAGGGAGCAGAGGGGTTTAGATGGGTCAGGAGTTCTGGGGGGGGGGGCTGTCAGGGGGTGGGGAGTGGTTGGATGGGGCGTGGGAGTCCCAGGGGTCTGTCTGGGGGTGGGGGTGTGGATAAGGGTTGGGGCAGTCAGGGGACAGGGAGCAGAGGGGTTTAGATGGGTCGGCAGCTTTGGGGGGGGCTGTCAGGGGGTGGGGAGTGGTTGGATGGGGCGTGGGAGTCCCAGGGGTCTGTCTGGGGGTGGGGGTGTGGATAAGGGTTGGGGCAGTCAGGGGACAGGTAGGGGGTAGAGTCCTAGGGGGCCAGTTAGGATGTGGGGAAGGTCTCAGGAGGGGGCAGTCAGGGGACAAGGAGCAGGGAGGCTTAAGTAGGGGGTGGAGTCCTGGGGGGCAGTTATTGGCAGGGGACCCAGGAGGGGGCAGTCAGGGGACAAGGCGTGGGGGGGAGGGTTGGGGGTTCTGAGGGGGCAGGAAGTGGGAGGGAGTGGAAAGGGGCGGGGCTAGGGCAGGACAGGGGCGGGGCTAGGGCGGGGCTCCTCCCGTCCTCTTTTTTGATTGTTGAAATATGGTAACCATAGGAGTATTATATTACCAGTGGTACATGGTTTACACTACACTGGTTCCTTCTCCAATGTTTACAACAGATTTGAACTTTTCAGTCTGAAAAAAGGATTTCACTGACATCAGACCCACTGCTCTAGTGAAAAAAATAGGTGAAAACTAAGTTAGAAGAACCACCATTTTGAAGCCATGGATGCCTGGAACTATTCTCCTATTTGGGAGGAAGAGTAACTATTGCAAAGCCTCAGAATCCAACGGGAAGCCAAAGCCACCCTGAAGACCTCACTGGTTTTTCCTGCTTTGCAGGCCCCCTTCTCCATGGCAGCATGGCTCCCTTATGTGAGAAGCAGCCATTGGATATAGAGTTGGTTGACAATTTTTTTTGGTAAACAGTAAATTAATCAAAAAATGCATTTTTCAGGGCACCAAAATGATGTGCAAATTCAGGGCAAATTTGACAGTTAATTTCAGCTAAAAAAAACCTGAAAACAAAAATTTTGGAAATGTCAAATCAGTTTATTGAGGAAAAAATTGAAATCAGCCATTTTGAAACTATCAAATCAAAATGACATTTTCAAAATGAAATGTCAAAGCAAAATGAAAAATGTCAAATGTCATTTCAATTCGACATGAGAAATGTTTCATCCCAAGTGATTTTTTGGGGGGAGGGGGGTTCATTTTCGTGAGACAAAATTAAAAAAAATGTTTGGATTTAAACAAACTATTCCCCTCATCCTCCAATGATAGACTTTTTGGCTTGGCCACCAAAATGAAAAAACAGCTATTTGTTCACCTCGGACTGAATGCCCCATCTCCTCTAAAGTCAAAGCCACCCTGTGACTTTTAGCAGCATTAAATACCTTTAAGAATTTCCTAGCTCCTGGTGCTTCTGGGATCTACCTCAAGCCTGAACATGTTGAAGAGGCAAGGAGGAGTCTTTGGGACTGAGGAAAGTAAGTGTGAAAAATTAAGACTTTTTTGGGGGGAGGGCATAGTTGCATATATAAGACAAAGTCTCTAATATCAGGATGGTCCCAATAATATCGGGACGTCTGGTCACCCTATGAGGGCAACAGGCAGTGTAGATTCTCTTCCTTTCCCTCTGTGGACTTAGAAAACTCTGTGACTAAATTCATGTTCCTTTACTTCCCATGTCACATAATGGAAGACAGCACAGGGTTCACCTTCCTGAGTTCGCCCTGATGTGTATAACCGTAGCGCCTCTATTAGCTTTATGTCCCCAGAGCAATGCAAAAACCTTACATTCATATAAACAGATTAAAAAAAACTAGTGAATCTTGTGCTCAGGAAAGATGATGGATTGAAAGAAAACCATCTAAACTGAAGTTTATTCACAGAATGGAGTATAATAGCAGACAGACAGTGAGAGGAAGTTTGCAGTGGCTCTCTCATTGGTGGGACCATTTCTAGGAATGAAAGGTAGCTAGTTTCCAAGGCCACCCTGAACTTCCCTGCTGAGCCTGCCAGCAATGATATAAGTGGCATTAACTGTTTCAATGGTTTTGTTAACATGATTAACTGCCTACTAGCAACCAGCCTCAGGCCAGCTACTCAGTTAAGGCCCCCTTCTGCAAGTCTTACTCACAGTGAATTATTCCTATGAGCCCTCCTACTGATTTCAATGGAACTACTCACATGAGTAAACATGTCTCAGCGGGCCTAGTCCTGCAAACACCTATGTGATAATTTTTTTCCCAGGGAGTAGTGCCACTGAACTCAAAGACACTCACATGAGTGTTAGCCAGATCAATGAGCAACTGTTGCTGAACTAAACCCCTAACAGAAAGCCTCGCAGTTCGAGAATCAAGCCCTTAGCAGACAGGCAGTGACTATGGTGATAGATGAGGTATAAATACCTAGAAAGAGTAATATTTCACGTAGGCCGCTTGTCAAATAACTGATAAAGTCACAGCTTGCACTGACTATTAGCCTTCAGCTGCTTTTGAACTGGCAACCTAGTGTCTTCTCAGGTAATCAGCCCTGAGCAAACATTCTTAATTCTGCTTTCACTGTGTGTTAAATGCACACAATGGAGTTTATTTTCATGCCAAAGTATTACCATAATATAATGACCCAAAAGGACAAAAGTAATACAACTGCTAAAGGTAATCGGAAGTGCTGCTCTTTTCTCCCCTCCCAAACTATACCACTGTTCTTCCACCACAAATTCTGGCTCGAAATTAATAAAACTATGAACACTTAAGAAAAACAAATCAATAAAGAAGGTAGGGGTTGTGGTTACGACACTGGACTGGGATTTGGGAGATCTGGGTTCAATTTCTGGTTCTGTCAAAACCTCCCTGGGTAATGTTGGCAAGTCAACTAAACTCTCTGTGCCTCAGTTCCCAATCTTCTGTGTGCTGTATTCCTTTGTCCCATCTCGTCTACTTAGACTCCTTGGGACAGGGACTCTATCTACTTGTGCAGTGCCTAGCACAATGGGCCTGTGATCTAGGCTGCGGTCTCTAGGCACCATTGTAATATAAAGGATAAAACAGCTGTATTCATTTCTAAATATCTTTTTTACCATTAAATGCTTCAATAACTTGCTGGAGAGTTTCCAGTGAAATTCCACTGTATCCTTTTGCTAAAACATTGATCCTGAGAGCTAAAAGCATGCGAGTTCTCGCTGGGATCAAAGGCTTCCCGACACCTGCAATGACAACAACCTCAAGGTTACAACCCCCAATTCTAACAGTTGTGGAAGAGAAACAAATTTGAAATCAATTTCCCACTACCTGCGGAATGTGACCGAACTAAATTCACTTGAAGCTCCCTACAAAGAAAGAAAAGTCATTTAAAAACCAACTTCCAGTGTTCAAACATAAAAAAAAGTTTTTCACAAAACTGAGCAAAAAATATCCCTCTCCTTTTCGGAACAAAAATGGACTAAAAATGTACACTGTAGAAATAATATGTATCTACTTTCTATATCCATTTTCTAAATTAAAGAAGGAAACAGATACAACATACTTGAGTTTACTAGTTGGAATAATCGTTCGAGCAAACTTCCCAAAGCCAGTGGTGATTCCATAAACAACTGAAAGAAACAGATATTTCAGATAAAGAAGAGAATCTAACTAAAGTCATCTAAAACTGACAACAAAATTAAGTTGGAAAAGAAAAAAAAATACCAGTCTGTTCTTTTACAATTCTTTCAATCACTTCTCTTGATTGTCTGACTTTAGCTTCAGCTTCAGGTGTGAGCTAGAAAAACAATAGCGTCAATATCCATTCCTCTATTACTACTTAAAAAACTAACTAAATAAAAGTATTTGGAGAGTTAGATTCTTTCAAAATCTTTACCTTGATCTTATAGAGCCCCTTTCCTAAATTGACCAGGTCCTCTGGTGTTAAACTGTTCCCATCTAAATAAATATACTGCGCAAAAGAACTGCATTTTAGTGAGTGTCATGTGTATGTAAGCAATTTCTAAACAATCAAAACTAAATAAATACAGTGAAAGCTTAATAGTGAACTGGGTTACAACAGCGTTCAGCCCCATTCTCATTCATACAGTAAGACTCTCTCAGAGAAGCATTAGCAAAGAACAGCTTATTTTAGGAGAGGTAACAAGTTAAGCAGTCATCATGGACGATCCTGCAAACACTGCAGAGCAAAGTGCTTCTGCGGTAGCTTCGGTGAAGTTACCCACAGTAATAGAAAGCTCTACACTTGGTAGTAAATGTTTGCAGGAACTTACTGAGTCCTACTGAAAACAAATAGTATATGTCACAAACAGCAATTCCATTTGAAATGTTCTGTGGGCTCCCGCTCTGTGTCATGGGCAAATAAAGAAAATAGGTTTTCTTTGAATACTGCCATTTCCCCCACCGTGATAAGAGGATTTCACCCTACTTCACCTTCTAACATAAAAAAACTATTGGATTGGGGCACATCTTATTAAGATCATTATTGAGCCATACCTTTTCTGGTTCTTGATATTTGCTATATCTGAAGCCATGTAAAGGGAAATAAAGGACATTCAAAACCCACACAAATAGTTGCTATTTAATTAGAATTTTTGAAGGAAGCCCTTTGAAGGTGGAAAAAGTGCTAAGCATTTTCAACTTTTGCAAATCTCAGAATTGTAAAAATTAACCAAAACAATGCTCAGTAAAGGATACAAATCAACTCCTTCTAGCTTAGATGCAATGAAATCCGAAGACATTACATCTCCTTCTATAGCTACAATGAAGAATGGGAAAAACAAACAGAATGAAAACTTATTGCCCATAGTTTGTTGCTACAGAGAATTCTTCATTAGCTAGAAAAAAATCAGTGACAAGAATTCCAATTTGCAGCCAAATGTATTTAAATGTCTTAACAAACATACAGTAAAAATGTAGTGTGAAAGTGAAATGAATTATATTAAAGAAATAGAATGAATTAAAGAATGCTGTATGTACCTTTAAGTAGAAATGAGAAGTGCTGCAAGCCAGGGGGCAGGAAAGCAGACATTAACTGCTTAATGAATTGCCCCACTTAAGGGCAATTAGTGAAGCATTAGCCTTAGATCGATAAGAGTTAATAAGGTAGCAGGATATGCATATTGTGCCCCAGGCAAATTTTACAATTTTGCTCTCTCTGTCCCTTTGTTTAGTTCACACCTTTTAGCTGTATAAATAAGACTGTTTGAATCTTGCATGGGGGCTCACATTATCTGAATGTATTAGCAGAGCGCTGTGCAAATAAAACAGAGTGGTCTAACAAACTATGAGTCCTGAGTCTAACTTTGACAGTAGTTAACACACACAAAAATCCAAAACCTACAGCCAAACACTTCATATCCCACCCAACTGTATGACACAACAGATGACCTAAAAAGCCTTCTCAAAACTGAGTTTGCAATTTAGTATTTTTTCTTAAATTACTAAAAAATAAATTTAGATTTGCTATATCACAGAAATATAACATTGCAAGATAAACAGAAAATACACACTCTGGGTCTCCTAAGCAAGTGCAGTCACCATATAATTTGTCATTGCAGGGTTTGCTTACCAACTTCAACAAACTCATTGTCCTCTAGTGTGTCCTCCAAAGTATCATCATGATCCAGCAAGCCAAGGCCTTTGCACCTCCGAACACAGAATTTCACTTCTTCCACTGAGGCAAAGCCCCCATTATCAGGCTTGTTTTTCATGTAACGTCTCACAGCTTCCTTCCCCAGCCATCTCACTGTGTTAGTGCCAGTTTGGCAAGGCACTGCCAGCCATTCCCCTCGGACATGTACTGTGTACCTTGGCATACTTCTCCTCTGTCTATGGTTGTCCCTCCACTAAAGGTGGCTGTGGTGTGAATCAGCCTTGTGTTTACCACACGATAGCCTAAAGAACAGCACCTGACTGGATTCCAATGTCCCAATCAGGAAAGGGCAAAAATCCTCTCTCCACCCCCAGATCCCCGCCTTCACAAATAAGTTAGTGTATTCAACAAACTTTATCTACTAAAAAGCCAACCCTAGCAGCAAACCTGTTCCTAGACAGGAGATGTGAAACTGCTGACACAGGAGTTATCTTTTGAGATTGTGCCAAGGATGTAGCACCAGCTCCTTAAAGGTATTTAGGCGCCTCTATACCTTCGAGGGTCTGGACTGTAGAGTCTAAATCTAGCTTTAGTTTGTAGAAAAGATGGTTACTCACCTTGGTAACTGTTGTTCTTCAAGATGTGTTGCTAATATCCATTCCAATTAGGTGTGCGTGTGCCGCATGCACGATCGTCGGAAGATTTTTACCCTAGCAACACTCGGTGGGTCAGCTGAGGTGCCCCCTGGAGTGGCACCCTTATGGCACTGGATATATGCTCCAGCCACCCAACGCCCTCTCAGTTACTTCTTGACAGCTACTCCGACAGTGGGGAAGGAGGGTGGGTTTGGAATGGATATGACCAACACATCTCGAAGAACAACAGTTACAAAGGTGAGTAACCGTCCTTTCTTCTTCGAGTGCTTGCTCATATCGATTCCAATTAGGTGACTCCCAAACCTTACTTAGGCGGTGGGGTCAGAGTGAGATGTCACAGAGTGAAGGACCGGTGAACCAAATGCAGCATCACCCCTGGACTGCTGCACTATGGCATAGTGGGAAGCGAAGGTATGTACCAATGACCAAGTCATTGCCCTACAGATCTCCTGTATGGGCACACGAGCCAGAAAGGCGGAGGACGAAGCTTGAGCCCGAGTGGAATGGGCAGTGAGGCGGGTAGTTGGGACACGAGCCAAGTCATAGCACGCACAGATGCATGATGTAATCCAAGACGAGATTCGCTGTGTGGAGACCGGGAGGCCTTTCATCCGGTCTGCCACCGCTACGAACAGCTGGGACGTCTTCCTAAAAGGCTTTGTTCGTTCAATGTAAAAGGCGAGAGCTCTGTGAATGTCTAGGGAATTTAGCTGTTGTTCCCATCGCGAAGCGTGCAGCTTCAGAAAGAAGACCAGGAGGAAGATGTCTTGGTTGACATGGAAGGCAGACACCACCTTAGGGAGGAAGGCGGGGTGTGGTCGCAGCTGTGCCTTGTCCTTATGGAACACGGTATATGGTGGGTCCAATGTGAGGGCCTGAAGTTCTGAGACTCGTCTCGCCGACGTGATAGCGATGAGGAAAGCTGTTTTCCAGGAAAGGTACAGAAGCGAGCAGGTGGCCATCAGTTCGAAGGGGGCACCCATGAGTCTAGATAGGACCAGACTGAGGTCCCACGTAGGGGCCGGATGACGAATTTGCGGGTACAGACATTCCAAACCCTTGAGGAACATACTGACCATGGGATTGGAGAAAACCGAGCACCTGTTTTCCCCTGGGTGGAAGGCTGAAATCGCTGCTAGGTGTACTCTGATAGATGAGACAGCTAAGCCTTGATGTTTCAGGGACCAGAGATACTCTAGGATGGTAGGTACTGGCACCTCCAGAGGGACAGTATTGCTCAGGGCACACCAGCAGGAGAAGCGCTTCCATTTGGCCAGGTATGTGGACCTAGTGGAGGGCTTTCTGCTACCCAAGAGTACTTGCTGCACCTAACTGGAGCAATGCAGCTCAGATTGAGTCAGCCATGCAGCATCCAAGCTGTCAGGTGGAGGGACTGCAGGTCTGGATGACATAACCTGCCATGTTCCTGAGTGATCAGGTCCGGCCACAATGGTAGTGGAACTGGTTTGGTCACCGACAGATCAAGGAGTGTGGCATACCAGTGTTGTCTGGGCCATGCTGGAGCAATCAAGATTAAGCGGGCCTTGTCTCTGCGTAACTTCAGAAGGACCTTGTGGACCAACGGAAACGGAGGGAAGGCATAGAGCAGGTGGTCTTTCCACGGTATCAGGAAGGCGTCTGACAGGGAGCCCGGGGAGCGTCCGTAGAGAGAGCAGAACACCTGGCACTTCCGATTCTCGCGAGAGGCGAAAAGGTCTATGTGGGGAAATCCCCACTTCTGGAAAAGAGAATGGATAATGTCCGGATGTATCAACCACTCGTGAGCCAGGAAGGACCTGCTGAGGCGATCTGCCAAGGTGTTCTGGACTCCTGGGAGAAATGATGCCACCAGGTCGATTGAGTGGGCTATGCAAAATTCCCAGAGATGTATGGCTTCCTGACAGAGGAGGGACAACCGCTCTCCGCCTTGCTTGTTGATGTAAAACATGGCCGTTGTGTTGTCTGTGAAGATCATGACACAACGGCCCTGCAAGTGTTCGCGGAATACCTGACATGCCAGGCATACTGCTCTCAGTTCCCTGACGTTGATGTGCAGGGTTATTTCTTGTGCGGACCAAAGACCTTGTGTGCGAATGTCCGCAAGGTGAGTGCCCCAGCCCAGAGATGACGTGTCCATGGTGAGGACTAGAGAGGGCTGGGTGGCATGGAATGGCATCCCCCCGCAAACAAGGCTGCGGTTTAGCCACCAACCCAGAGAGGATAAGACTCCGTCGGCACCGGGAGTACTGTGTCCAAACTGTCCCGGCCTGGACGGTACATTGACGAGAGCCAGGTCTGAAGCGGGCGGAGGCGTAGTCTGGCATGTCTGCTCACGAAGGTGCATGAGGCCATGTGGCCCAGAAGACCGAGGCACGTGTGTGCTGTCGAGGTCGGGAAGCTTTGTAGGCCGTGAATAATGGTCATCATGGACTGGAAGCGGGACTGTGGCAGGCATGCCTTAGCAAGATTCGAGTCCAGGACCGCCCCAATGAAGTCTATTCTTTGGGTTGGGTCCAAAGTGGACTTTTCGGCATTGAGGAGCAGGCCCAGTTGCCTGAACAAGCTCATTACGAACCGAACATGAGACCGCACCTGTAGCTCGGAATGACCCCGAAGGAGCCAGTCGTCGAGGTACTGAAACACTTGGATCCGATGTCTGTGGAGCAAGGCCGCTACAACAGCCATACATTTTGTGAAGACCCTTGGCGCTGTGAACAGGCTGAAGGGAAGGACGGTAAATTAGAAATGCTGCTGGTTGACCACAAAGCGAAGGAACCGCCTGTGTGGCGCGTAAATTGCTATGTGGAGTACGCGTCCTTCATGTTGAGGGTGGCATACCAGTCTCCAGGAAAGGGATAATGATCCCCAGGGAACCTTTACCATGAATTTGTTGAGTCCGCGCAGGTCCAGGATGGGCTGAAGTCCCCCCTTTGCCTTGGGGATTAGGAAATAATGGGAGTAAAAACCCCTGCCCCTCAGGTCCTTTGGTACCTCTTCCACCGCTCTAATAGACAGGAGCGCTTGTACCTCCTGTAAGAGGAGTTGCTCGTGAGAAGGGTCCCTGAAGAGGGACGGGGAGTGAGGGTGCGGGAAACAAACTGAAGATGGTATGCAGTTTCCACCATGCGTAGGATCCAGCGAGCTGATGTTATGCGGGACCACGCAGGGAGCAAATAGGAGAGGTGGCTGGAGAAAGGCAGGAAAGGATCTTGCAAGGAGACTGGTGCTCCGTCCTCAGGTGCACCTTCAAAAGTTTTGCTTGGGCCCCGCTGATGGTTTTGGGGGCCCCTGATTCTGGCCTGATTGAGGACCAGATTGTCATCTCCTATTACCACGACCACGCCTTCTAGTGAAGTCTTGCCGCAGTCGACGGTTAGGGTAGGTGCACTGTGGTTGGGGCCGGAAGGGCCTACATTGCGTCACTGGGGTATGCATGCCCAATGAACGCATGATGGCCCGGTTATCCTTCAGACTATGCAGTCTGGGATCAGTTTTGTCTGAAAATACACCTTGGCCATCAAAGGGCAGGTCTTGTATAGTTTGCTGCAGCTCCGGTGGAAGACCGGACACTTGCAGTCATGAAATATGGCACATAGCCATGCCCGAGGCTAGAGTCCTAGCTGCCGAGTCCACCGCGTCTAAGGATGCCTGCAGGGATGTCCTCGCCACTTTCTTGCCCTCTTCTAGCAAGGCCCCAAAGTCTTCCCTGGACTCCTGGAGAACCAACTCCTTGAACTTCCCCATCGAGTTCCAGGTGTTATAGTTGTAATGGCTCAGAAGGGCCTGCTGGTTAGCTACTCTGAGCTGCAGACCACCTGTAGAATAAATCTTGCGCCCGAACAAATCCAGGTGCCTAGCGTCCTTGGACTTATTGGCCATGTCTTGTTGGCCATGTCTCTCCCTCTCGTTTACAGACTGTACAACAAGGGAGCGAGGTTGGGGGTGGACATACAACTATTCATAATCCTCAGAGGGCACCATGTATTTCCTCTCCACCCCTCTGGCAGTGGGAAGTATAGACACCGACGACTGCCAGATCGTATTGGCATTAGCCTGAATGGTCCGAATGAACAGTAAGGCTACACGTGTGGGGGCATCGGCAGATAAAATGTCCACCACAGGATCCTCACCACCTCCTCCACCTGTAGGTTCATGTTCTGTGCAACCCTACGCAGCAGGTCCTGGTGTGCACGAAGATGTATAGGCGGTGGGCCAGAGGAGGACGTGGCTGCCACGGCCTCATCAGGCAAGGATGAGGAGGACAATCCCTGGACTAGTGGGTCCTGGGGAAGGTCTGGTTGAGAAGGGTCCAGTTGCCCTAGGTCCACTCCACTAGGGGCATGAGCCTGTTCAGGTGGCAGGGCGGTCGCCTCCGAGGCTATTGGGGGAGGACGACTCACAGTGGCTTCAGGCACCCTATGCTCTGAATGAGCCGAGCGAGAAGCGCCTGAGGGGACACCTTGGGCTTGGTGGTATGCCCAAGAAGTCCAGAAGGACCATTGTGGGGGTCCCTGGTCAGAATCCTGTCCTTCATCTGGCCCCTGGCTAGTGCCATCCGCGTCTTGGCCTTGGACATGGTAGCCACTTGCCGCTTGGAACGACATCGAATTTGGACATGAAGGCCAAGGTGATGCCGAATGTG